TAAATAAATAAATTAACAAGTAGTTTGCTAAAACTTAAAACTGTAATCCGCAATCAAATAAAATTTGTTTGTTTGTTAGATGGGGTTGAACGTCACACCGGCACAGTATATGTCATATGGCAACGGTTCCAGCTTTACTGGTGGAGGAAGACCTCAGGTGCCCTTTATTTCATGCACAAATGGGCACCTGAGTATAACCACCCACGTTCCGTAAGCTACCAGGATAGCTTCCTAACATGACAGAATCAAAAGTCCCTGTCGGGATTCGAACCCACAGCGGTGAATGGCAAGTGGTTCGAAGTGAACGACCTTAACAACTCGGCCAGGGACGCCCCAGAAAATAAAATGAATCAATAAATATACAAGCCCATGTTAACTTACCCCGACTAATAATCTCATAAGCCCAGTTCCGCTACTTTTGTTTTCCATACACAATGTTGTCTGATACTGCATGGCCTTCAGTAGAGCCTCAAGGCCCGTCTCGCCTATCTCATTCCCTGTAATATTTTACATATAATATCATATATACATGTATAGAACACAAGTTCGTGAATGACAAAATCACTAAAATGATTATCTGTAACATTACTAAGTATTTCAATTAAATAGATTCAAGAAAAAAAATGAAGTGTTACAAAATAACAACTCATTAAATATAATCATTTGTAAATGTCGTAAATTTAAGGTTTCTCAAAGATCGGTGGTTATGACGGCCTTGCCCGAAAACACCCGAACGCAACTACCAAGATGACGTATAGAATGCCAAACACCACGTGTCATGAGACAGACCCGAACTAGTTCCGGCTGTTACGTGAAGCAGACGATGACTATATGCCGTGGTTAGGGTTTTTGTTAGGACAGACGCCGGGGTTGATTTGGTACTGGTGTGTCGATCAGATATTCTAACGTAAGCTTTATTTCTTGGACCATCTTGTAATTCTAGTATTAGTATAAGTCTCTAATTACACTGTATCATTCAATTAAGTTTATTCCGCAAATTTGACATTCACTACAAATAATCTGTAAAATAAAATAAATTGTGCAGATTTCTAGTTCGTTTGACAAATCAGCATAATTATTTTCCGTTTCTTTTACAATTTAGATAAAGCACTGTCCGGAAATGGTGCTTGGAAAATCCATTTGTAATCTAAGATTTAAACATCAAGATTTTGAGTAAAAAGAACTTTTCTTGCATTTTCTAAGAAGGTACGGGGGAACTAGTAAAACAAGAATATCTTTACAACACATTATATTTGTCCAAGGTTTGAAATTAATTCAATCCCATCTCCTGGCAAGGACCTTCTTCATCCTGCTATATGGGGAGGGGGGTAACGGACATATAACTTTGTTAAAGATCCTGTAACACATTTTTTCATGGTTTTATTTCATGAATATGATGCTCAAATTAAGATTTGTCAATATTGTAAGTCCCAATAAGCATTATTTTTAAAGATATTACCGAATTAAACATATCTTGTAAATAAAGGGAGGTAATTTGAAATTTATATTCTATAAGTTCTAAGTCAAATTTTCCAATAAGAAATGAATGCATATAATCTATTGATTAAATATTATGTGCACAAATATTTGCAGTACACATTTTACGTATTCTTCGATGTTTGAAAATTGTTTTATATGCATAATTATATACATATATAATTTTTTGCAAGTGTGATATACACACAGTAACAATATCAATCACAAAACATACATGATCTTTAAAACAATCAATGCGTTTCTATAACGCGGCTGATCTCTACTTTTACTTCTTTAATATGTATGTATTTTCTTGTCAGGTGATTGTACAGCGCCTCCTAGCGGTCAAGAGTTTGTCACATGCTCAAGGAGCAGCACTGATGGCCGGTTTTATAAAAGTTTTACCATTATTTATGATGGTGATGCCGGGGATGATCAGCAGAGTTCTCTACGCTGGTGATAAAATATTACGCGTATACGTCAAAGACCGTCCGGGGGCCATGCAGATTTGAGTTGGAAGGGGTGGAATTTAGAGCTGCAACAATATTAAATCGATGCAACACATGCAAATCATATATGTTGCTTTTTGTTTTTACTAACTGGACCTTTCTGAAATATAAATAAGCAAAATCCTGCTGCGGAATATTTAGCATGGCTCAAGGACGTATGATCGTTAAGACCCATTAACTTAACAGTCACCCCATGTGCACAAAAAGGCCTTTGACACCGTCTCAATTTTATACCGTGGCTTTCATATACTTTATTATACGTTATATTTTATTGCGTGCCTTTTGTTATACTTCATGATCAATCTGACTAAATTCATATCTACTTAAGTTATTTCTTGTATGTAGCGTTAATTAGTATGTGATTTTAATGAGACTCACTTAACTATATGTATATTAATATCGTTATTGTGTGAAAAGGATCACTTTTTATCCTTTCGAAAATTTTGACAGGTTAACCAAGGAAATATATAAACAAAACCCCGACTGCAACTTGTTGTTTTGTCATAGTTCATATTTTTTCTGTTATTACAGACGAGGTTGCATGTGTTGACCCACAAATATGTAACTATGTATGTCAAAGCGAGGCTGGATGTAGCAGTATAGCTTATCCGAGACTTGTCCTCGGTATCATGCCAGAAGGTGGGTTACAGAAACAAGATGTGGTTCAGACTTTCAGAAATTGCACTTTGTACATATTTTAGTTTTCCCTTTCCTGCGTAATCATAAAAATGCCATTTCGGTGTGTACAAATGTCAATTTTGAATTACAAAGAAAAAAATACTACTGAACGACTAAAACTAAATCAATCTTATTTGCAATTTTAGACGACAAAAATCATAAATTATTTCTAAAATACCGAATCATTCAAATATATTTTACATATGTCCGTGCAACTTTTCAAGTACATTCATTGTAAATATAAGAATTTACTGTACCCCAGTAGTCAGTCGTTGAGATTTTGCAATAATTATGTTTTTTCCTCAAACTTAAAATTGTATTTCTTCCCTTTATTGATACATCGTTAGCTTCATGATTAAGGCAGCAAACTGGATTTCCATGACACCCATACCATATATATCTCAATTTAATTTTCGATGTGTTGAATGCAATATCGAAAAGTTTTAATTGCATACAAATATATATATCAGGTTTACGTGGTCTGATATTCAGATTTACGTTATCATAGATTCAGATTTACGTGATCATATAATCAGATTTACGTAATCATATATCCAGATTTACGTGATCATATAATCAGATTTACGTGATTATATATCCAGATTTACGTGATCATATATTCAGATTTACGTGATCATATATCCAGATTTACGTGATCATATATCCAGATTTACGTGATCATATATCCAGATTTACGTGATCATATATTCAGATTTATGCATGTGATCATATACATGTATTCAGATTTACGTAATGATATATTCAGATTTACGTGATCATATATCCAGATTTACGTGATCATATATTCAGATTTACGTGATCATATATCCAGATTTACGTGATCATATATTCAGATTCACGTGATCATATATCCAGATTTATGCATGTGATCATATACATGTATTCAGATTTACGTAATCATATATTAAGATTTACGTGATCATATAACTAGATTTACGTGATCATATATCCAGATTTATGTGATCATACATTCAGATTAACATGATCATATATCCAGATTTATGTGATCATATATCCAGATTTACGTGATCATATATCCAGATTTACGTGATCATATATTCAGATTTAAGTGATCATATATTCAGATTAACGTGATCATATATTCAGGTTTACGTGATCATATAAACAGATTTATGTGATCATACATTTAGATTTACGTGATCATATATTCAGGTTTACGTGATCATATATCCAGATTTATGTGATCATACATTTAGATTTATGTGATCATACAATTAGATTTACGTGATCATATATCCAGAATTACGTGATCATATATCCAGATTTACGTGATCATATATTCATATTTACGTGATCATATATTCAGATTCACGTGATCATATATCCAGATTTATGCATGTGATCATATACGTGTATTCAGATTTACGTGATCATATATCCAGATTTATGTGATCATATATTCAGATTAACATGATAATATATCCAGATTTACGTGATCATAGATTCAGATTCACGTGATCATATATCCAGATTTACGTGATCATATATCCAGATTTACGTGATCATATATTCAGATTTAAGTGATCATATATTCAGATTTACGTGGTCATATATCCAGATTTATGTGATCATATATTCAGATTCACGTGATCATATATCCAGATTTATGCATGTGATCATATACATGTATTCAGATTTATGTGATCATATATCCAGATTTACGTGGTCATATATTCAGGTTAACGTGATCATATGCATGTAATCATATACATGTATTCAGATTTACGTGATCATATATCCAGATTTACGTGGTCATATATCCAGATTTATGTGATCATATATTCAGATTCACGTGATCATATATCCAGATTTATGCATGTGATCATATACATGTATTCAGATTTATGTGATCATATATCCAGATTTACGTGGTCATATATTCAGGTTAACGTGATCATATATTCAGGTTTACGTGGTCTTATGATGTCGTTGATGATAGCGGCTCTTATGAGTGACATTGACTCGATCTTTAACAGCGCCAGTACCCTGTTCACTGTTTATGTTTATACTAAAATTAGAAAGAACTGTTCTCAAAGAGAACAAATGTTTGTAGGCAGGTAAGATTTATACAAGTTAAATGTTGATGCTGCACATCAAAGACGCCGCCAAATGATGTGAACAGTCAATCAGCATAGAAAATCGTTCTCTTTTACAGTTGAATATCCGAAGAACAAATTAATTTTAACTCCCATGTTCTTGGTATGTGCTCGTTGTTTAATAATCAAGTTGCATATTTTTGTGAAACAGTAGAACCTAATGCATAAATTCACATAAATGCCATGTCTGAAATTCTAAAATATTTTTTCTGTTGCGACAAAGATTGAACGTCTGTTCGAAGCAAAATAAATTGGATAACAAGTAAAAATGTAATGATTGGTTTACTTAAAATGAATTCAAGACAATATGTGCCGGGAATTGCATAATGTTCGAATGATTTTGAGGACGAACTTTTCTGCAGTGATCTCCCCTTACTGGCCGTAGCGTAACGAGTTTACGGCTGCGGAAGAACCGCCTCTCTGTTAATGGGCGTGGTTTAGGCTTTGTGATTTGTAATTTAATGATTCGACAAGTGATATTGATAAAAAATTCCCTTGTTCCCTTCCGCCTCGTCAACGAAGACTAAATACTGGCATACGGAGCATCATTTTAAATTTTTGCGACAATTTAAGGCAGAGCCGAACTTCAACAGAGGCGGAGCAAATGAAGTAAGTGACACTGCCTCAGTCGTAACCTCTTTCTAGAACGATCGGCTATAGACTGGCTCATTGGCACGTTATTTATTATGTAGATAAAATTAGATAATGATAAAAACGTTTCGTGAATTTTACCGCCACTCATGTCGGAATATTTTAACAGTCAACGCATTATCAATTTTAACCAGTTAAGGAATGCAGTTAAAATGATACCAGAAGATCAGTGTACAGTAAATAGAATATTCACCAAAATATTTAGTATATCACATGCAATAAACCTGGTCCTGCTTTGAAAATTATTTGATATTCTAGCTGTTTATTTAAGCCAAATTTTATTTAAATTTTATTAGCATAGTTTTGTAAAGTTATTATGAATGTTATCAAATATTTTCTTACTGTTGTTAGTATTGTCAAATCAATTTAATTTTATATTATTGTATGATTTCCTGTATGTAAACTGTGCAAACGTCTTACGGTGATACAATATGTTATAATGTGCACATTAAAATAGAAAATTAGATTTGCTTTCCTTTTCATTTCACTGTTCTGCTGCAGTTTAGAAAAAAAAGAACAAACAAACAAACAAACAAACAAACTCTCCTTTAAAATCCCCAAAACAACAAAAGCAAAAGAAACAAACAACACATATTTTGTGTAAAAATCAGCGCAACAAAATTTCTCTTACACTACAGTATTGAGTTTATGTTGTGTTCTCACCACCGATCAGATCTACTCGATCAAGCACGATCAAGCGATTGGGTACCGGTCTAGCTAAGTCTGCATGAGTGATCGGGGGTGGTCGGAGCGGTCTACCTTGGTCGGCATGGCTCGGGCTTCCTACCCGAATTTTTTTGACATGTCAAAAAAAAATTGAGTAGCGACAGAGTAAAAAAGCGGTCGAGAAGCGATCGTATAGTGATCGAATAGAAGATCTAGTTAATCGAATAGAAAATCTAGTTAATCGAGAATAAATCGTGTAACGATCTAGTTTGGTCGGATATACATCTCTTACCCGATCTGTACACGATCACCTCGACTTCAATTCACGACTATTCACGACTCGATTACGATCATTACGATCTGGTCGGGTGGAAATCTTGCAACGATCGAGCAGAAGTCTTTCAGAAGATTTTCTAGTAATTTATTCAATCTTTGTATTTTGAAGTACACCATAACAAGACAAAGTATATTTTTGTCAATCTTATGTAAATGTTTTAATTTGTATGTTCCAAATAGGGTTTTATACACAAACATATCTTGTTCAATCCCTACTCCCTCCCCAAAAGCAATTAAGTGCAGCCATAGCTAATATATAATATCTCTCACCCTAGTTTTCAAGCCACTGTTTTAACATAAATGTTTTAATTTGTATGTTCCAAATAGAGTTTTATACACAAAAATATCTTGTTCAAACCCTACTCCCTCCCCAAAAGCAATTAAGTGCAGCCATAGCTAACATATAATATCTCTCACCCTAGTTTTCAAGCCACTGTTTTAACATTTTTATATATAATCTTTTATCCGCTTTTAAACAACTCTTTTTTAACTTTCTTGCGATTTTTGACAACGTCCCCTCGAGGGGTTGGACATTAACGGAAGACTGTGCTACAAACAGTTTAGATAGAGCCTTGTCAAACTTTGAGGTGGACGCTATCCTAGTTCTTTGCTGGTAGCAAAATGGTTTTAGACCAATCACGCTCCGTTCCTGCAGCATAATTGTTAATACATGTAAAATACATTCGGAAAAAGACAAGGAAGAAAATCCTTTGTAAGCAATATGTATATGCATAATTATATTTGTTCGAAGTGCTATATATTTACATGTACTATTTTGTGTACATGTACTTTTTCTATAGATGTACTTTTTCTTTACATGTATATAAAATCTATATCTGAAATGAGATGTCAAACATGTGTCATTGGGGTATCTATCAGGATTCAAATAACTTTACCAAGTCATCTTACATTTATTATCACATCTATCGTCTGCTAATTACATTAATGTTGTTTTGATCTTAGCTTCACTTTATATGAAAAACATTGCATAGAAAGTTAGGCACGCATGATTATATTTATGATATGACAACGTACTTACATAACGTAACAAAAATTAAAGAAATTGGCAAATGGCATAGAATAAAAGTTGGTTATTTTATAAAGAATTTCTAATTAATAATAGATTTGTCATGAATTTCCAATCTATGCCCTTCGGACATAATGTCATCTAGATAATATCTCCTTTTTTCAAATGCTAGGTATATATTTTACGAAATCCTATCATTTCATTTGTATATTAGATTTTTAAATACATTTAAACTTATTCATTATACCATTTTATATTTGCAGCCAATTGTTTTGGCATAAACACGCAATGATTGGAGCTTAAATCTTATACAAAAAATACTAAGTTGCCAATTTCATGCACCATCTTTTGCTTTTGTTGCCTTATAGTATAAAGCACTGTTTTATTCTATTTTGTTTTGCATTCTTCTTTTATAAAATTTGTTTAGATATAGCGTTACTTTCTTAGCTTAAGGTGATAAAAGTGTCTAAGATGAAAAAATGTCTAAAGTCATAAAACTGCTAAAGAAGAAAAAAATAATTGTTTCTGAGGCACAATGTGCTTAGATATTATTTCACTGTAAATGCACATATTTTTTTATGTATTTTGAATACCGGTGTCTTAAATTCAATTTGTTTATGCAGATTGCAACGCATAATTGTTCTAGAGGATTACATATAAAAGAAGTGAACATTTAGTTAACCCGACCAGCTTAGAGTACCATGTCGTAGAATGGCCTTGACATTATTCCAAAACTACTGAAGTAATACTCTGAAATGCTTTCAAAAGTTTGCTATTACTTGTACAACATCTTTAATAATAAATCTAACATGAACAACTGTTTCTTTAATTTGTTTTTAAAATATCCGATATAACATATTTGCTTTTTAAATAGTAGTTTCACCTAAAGTAAACATGTAGATCTATGGCACAAATTTTCGAGTAATTTTGTACGAAACATTTTTGAATTCTAACACATACCAAGAAATTTCGAATATTCACTGTCATTTATTCCCTATACCTCTCAATTCACAAGAAGACCGAAAGCAACATAATTCAAAAAAGGGAAACAAATGAACCTCGTTACACAAATTTAATTCATGAATAATTGATGAAATGAGGAAAAGTTTCTGTGTTTTGTAAACACACTTTTAAGCCATTATAGAAATTCACTTAGACATTTTAATGAATAAATATCTCACCCATTTGTATGATGTATTCATGCATTTACTATCGTACCTAACTATGGGTACTTTAACAATATTTACGTGTTTCTTTATGTGAGTGGTTCATGTAATTACCCGAAACGACATCAGCATATATTTCTGTTGTTAAATGGTTATATATGCTTTACAAGAAACACTTTCACGACCGATATAAAATTACAAGGGCTAGTTAATTTAAGGGAAAGCCTTAACTTTGCGATAATGAAAGCAACACAGCAAATAGTACTGCACCTTTTGTCTAATCATCATATTCATACAGCTATAGTTCTTAAAATAAATTAATTATATGTCGCTAGTGTATAATCCAACTCTTTAATAGTAACCGAACTAATATCAAATGTGAATATCATTGATCAAATAATGAGTATGGATCCATCAATTATATGCCAGGGAGATTTCATTACGTTCTGAAAGGCACGCTGCCGGCGGGATGATCGCCGTTCCCACATAGTTCAAAAACCGCCGTTTACGCATTAGCCAATGACAACTGATATTTTGAAAAATGATCTTTCGATTTTTTCCCAACAGTATATACAATATATATGTATAATGTTTAAGAATGACTCAATGTTGATGCTTGCAATCTAAGGTAATTAGCAAACAGTCTCATATTAAGGCGTTCTTATATCATCGACTTTTAAGCCTTGTTCGTGCATCACTCTCGCGGTTGTATTTCTCGAAAAAAAAAAACAGGTGCTGTTATAGCTTGAACTCTAGTTCTTCTCAGAACTTTACACAATTATATATTTGCTCAGATTTGAAAACTGTTCTTTTGGTGCGTAAATACTGACCTATTTTAAGTGACTGTTTTAAATCAAAGGTTTAATATTTTAAAGTTGAAAGCCAAATGACCTTAGTGTCCGACTTTATTTGTCATCCAATGAAAACGCTGTGCGTTAATTTCCATAGAAGAACAATGAGTTTCACATTTAAAATACTGAAGAAGAATTATATTTCAAACTGAACATAACGGAAAATCAATGGAATGGTCATTTGCCATTCTAAGTATATGTTAATAAGTGTTCATCCAAAACTTCGACGGGAGCGATAGCGACAGGAGAATGTTTCTAACTTCTGTAGAACAGAAGGAATGAATACTAATATATTTAGTGTCCAGCCTAATTTGGCCTCATTATCATTCATTTTTTACGTAACTTCGCGGTTCTATGAAGTACTATGGAAGAAAGAAGTCGATTATGGACGGAATTCAATAGAGTATCAACTTTCGTTCTTCTATGGAAATTAACGCACAACATTATAATGAGCTATAAGTCCATACTTGTGCATTCGCATTCAAAAGCATACGTCAACGTCAAAACAAGTTTCTTTTTGTTTCAAGCATTTTCAATTACTAAAATTATCATTTGGTAGAATTCCTTTTTGTCTCAGATTAGTAAATTTTAGGACAGTTTAATTTAGTTATATATCTAATTTTTTCTGACATGTCTATTTTTTATTTTTCCAGTAGGACATATATTTCGGTTTCCATCAGTTATCTCGTTACTAATAGGTGTCGCTTTTTCTGCACATTTTGATATGCATGCGCTTTTCGCAATTCTCATTACAGGTTTTGTTTGACATTGATACTAGACATATCGTTTAAATCCCTAACGTTACGGGGAAGCAGTCGAAGCTAGCAGCCTTTTTTAGTGTGCCAGTGGTTCCTGGCTCGACAGCTGATATTAAAGGTACACATTAAGTTGATATTAACTCTTTACATCATATGGCTGGTCTAAGAAAATAAGCTAAAAGAGCTCAGTAAGTTAGGAATTTTTAATGATTCTTCATATTCTAGTGGGGATTCTATGAGTTTCTTTTCTGATTCTTTGACAGAAGATGACAGCAAGTATGATTCTTGCCATTCTCTTAAGACTACAAGAAAATAACATAAAAAGACAAAATCGGGTATAACATCAGAATCTGTGATTCTTTGAGAAATTAACAACGGTACTCCCATTCAAATTTATGTTTTGATTTTGTAAGTCAAAATATGCAACAGAATTTAATTTATTAATTGCTGGTGGGTTGGAAATTGTCTCATCTAGTATGACAGGTACATGTAAAATGGAAAAGGAAGGATGATAATATCTTTTAAAAGAATTAATGTACATTGTATTTAGATAGTACATATGATTTTTTCTGTCATCAAACCGCTTTACGCTGCTGATTTTAGAGAAATTGATTTAGATCATGCTACTTAGGGGG